AGATAATTGCATTGTAGTTGACAATAATTGTTTTGACAAATATTTATGAAATGTGTCAAGTTACGCCGTCGGTAACGTGTTTAATTTTATGGAAGCCTTACAGCACAAAGACTCCGACAAACTAAGACTCAGTAGGAGAGTTATGAGCCTTGAAGACGCCGCACAGTGAAGAGGGTTGGATTAATTTCAGAGAAAGCTAGGAGGTGTTCACTTTGACGCCTCAGATTGTTCTGAAGCACTTTGGTTCAGGAGGCAGGGGGCAGGTGAGGGAAAGGCATAACTGGAGAGGAATGCATGCTAGCATTGTGCGAGACTGCAGCGGCTTTCTCCTTGTTCCAGCTCTTGACGCAGGCATTCCAAGGAGAGCCGGCACTGAGGTGTGCTTCCATTCCCATGCCCGGTCATTGGTGAACCGTCCAAGGAATCGCATTGTACAGTTTTAAGAATTGATACCGGAAGGAAGCCTGCCGGTTGCTAGGATCTCCCTAATATATCTGTAGGTAAAGGAAAGTGAGTGCAAACTTGGAAAGCGTGCTCAAGATTTTTCATCTGTAATTGTTGTGGTCTTTCTGGTTGTCCCGGGTTCACGTCTTAGAGTATTGCTAATTAAAAGGAGCGGTAGTTCAACTCGCAGGTACTCACTCTGGGGCATCAACGTACACGGCGATGTGGAAACTTCACACTGCCCCACACAGAACTGCTGTGGTTTCTTTAATAGTCTCACTTGGCTGGACCTCTTGAGGGGAAGAACCAGTCTTATTTATCATTGATTTTTTTTTTTTAAATTAGGGTCCTCTATTGAGTATGAGTCTCAAACTCAGTTTCAGCTGTATTAACAACTTTATCACAACTTATGTCTGCCATGAACTCGGTTTGGTTTTGTTTATTTTTTGGAATCTAATATAGCATTCTATCTTTGGAACATATCCCCACCTTCCTGAAACTGTCATTTAGAGCAGGCAGGCTACGAAGTATGACATTCAGATTGCTCATAGATAAGAATCTATTTTTCTTTCCGTTTGTGCTCACTCTGTTTCCCCTTGCAGCTCATATCGATAATAATTGATGACAAAATGGCACGCCATAATCCATGAAAATCGCAATAATTTACAGATTTACAATGTGTGTGAATTAGAAGAGAAGGCATAAAAGATTTTTTCTGCCTATCCCATAAGTTTCCAAACAGTGTAGCTCTCATTGTGATTTATTAGAAAGCTTTTTTGGCACCCCCTTCCCCCCCGCTCCCCGCACCAAGCAGTTTCTTGCTCCCATAAAAATGTTTATTTCCCTACTCTAATAAAGGTAACATTTGCTGCAGGGGAGACAATCAATATGACTGTCCTGTATACCCCTACTCGGGAAATAGCGTGGTTCTGGTCTATCATCTCCACTAGTCAGAGCTCTTGAACCACATCAAGATCCAAATAATCCTTTGTAGTTCATTAGCGTATCCTCACCACGTTGTCATCTCGTGTACAGAACCATCAGTGCCCGTGTGTACCATCCCAAATACTAAGGTTCGCTATTTCCTCCCCTTTGTCTGCGATAGCCTGCAGCTTGCCCTTTGTGTATTGTACACTCAGCTGCCGTGGCGTGTGACAAGAGTTGTTGCCAGAACGCAGAGCCGCTATTGCAAAGCTTAGCACTGACCCAGTATCGCCGCCGTGTTGAAAGGTGACGTACAGTAGCTCTCATGGAGAATCCCTGACCTTCAACGATTGTGAAGTTAATTGCCTGCGGGTTCCTCATTTTTATATGTGAATTAAATCGCTTAGTAGTTACCTACTACATGTTAACACAATGGTTCATTTGTC